TTCGATTGCAGTCGGAAGCCATCATATCTTTTCACTGACAGCAAAAACGTTTTAGAATTTAGATTCCGGATGACTCATAGAATTCCACAGCAAAAAAAAAAAAACCATACTGGTAAAGCCTATTGTTATACTTGTTTACCAAAAAAAAAAATTTTTTTCTTTTCATTTGGTTTTTCTAGACAAGTTTTTTTATTTCTAAATTTTAAAGCCCCCCAAAAGAAATGTCAAAAAATTTGCAATAATTTCACTTTTATTTTGTGCCCTTTCTCTGTGTCGTCTACTTCAGAGGCTTTAAAATTAATTATTTGTTGATATCCTTTTTTTCTGCGTCTGGACTTAACAGTTTTCCAACATATGACAAATAATCAAGAAAAAAAATTAAAAATAATATACAAGCAGAAAAAAACTCAACAATTTATGTCACCGGTTAAAAAAAAACGCACGCACACACAATACTTTTGTTTATAACGATTAATAATTGTTCAACACCTTTTTGACAGATTATACCAAAAAAAAATTGAAGAAAACAAGGCAAAACAAAAGAAAGTCTGTTTTTTTATTCACTACAATCAGTGGCAGTTATTGAGTGTGATAGAGTACTTTAGGAAACAAAAATCCAAGAATCATCTTATTTTTCTGTATTGATCTATCTCATAATTTGGTGAACAGTTTTGCCCAAACCGTTATCGGTTCGGCTGGCAGTCAGTGTCTGTTCCCCGCTCCTCCAAACATCCATATTTCCCCTTCTTTTGGTTCTCCTCTTCCTTCTCATTGTCGCTTTCTCTATTTGTTTCTTTCTAGATTTCTGGATACTTCAAAACTCGTTTCGGAAAAAGGATAGGAAAAAAGAAAGAACAACAAAAGAATATCATAAAAACTAATCAGTAATTTATACTGCAGTAGAAAATTGACTTATTTTTTAAAATAAAACAAAAAAATTAGAAAAAAATGAACAAAAACAAAACCAAACAACAAGTATCAGTGTTCAATTTCACTATAAATACTTACTGTTGCTGAATATTTCAGTTTATAATAACAGTTTTTTTACACGATTCAACAATGTACAGTATTTGTCAGACCGGTATGGTTTTTTTCTTTTGTAAAAAATTAGTAAAATAATCAAGCAAGATTAAACAAAAAAAAAAAAGCTGTTTTTTTTCTTCAATTTTTACTACATCGTTACACTTAAATGATTGCCATTATCGTAGCAGTTATCCTATTTATTACGGTAACTATTAAATGAAACAAAGTAAAATAAAAATGGTACTTTTTTTTATAGGTTTATTTGCAAATTTTCTCTATATTTTGTTTTATTCTTATTGACCACTCTAATTGCAAATTGTTGTATCGCTGTTGGTACCACTTATTATTATTCTGATACAACTGACGGTAAGTAATATAAATTTTTAGCTTTGTGCTTTATGTTTTTATAAGCAT